GCATCCCTGTAATTCTGGCTACTTGGAAGGCTGAGGCGGAAGGATCGCCGGAGCCCAGCAGGTTGAGGCTGCGGTGGCTGGGAGCAGCCACTGCACTCCAGTCTGGGTGACAGAGTGAGACTCCAACTCAAAAAAATAAAAAATAAAAAAAATAAAAACAAAGTAAAAACAAAATGACAAGATTACAGTGGGTGATTAAAATCTCCTGAGATCCACATAGGAATCATTTCCAAGACATTTCTGACAAGTAACCATCAGCTTCTGCTTGCATTCCTCTAGTGGCAGGGCACTCACTACCTCATGCGTATTTCATTGGGCAGTTGTAATGGTCAATAAAGAACCTCCTTTCCACCTGCTTGCAGTTGCTAGCCTGACTTTATTCTCTGGGGTCCCAAGCCTTCAGTTTACAGTCAGTGGTCAATGGCTGGGCCGGTGTAGAAGGTAAGGAAATTTCAGTTCCTACCTTCCTTCTTTCCCTCCTCTTTGTCCCTCCTTCCCTGTAGGAATACATACATCTCCTCTGTCTCCCCATCACAGTCCCTCTGCCCCTGAGTTAACTCCAGGGTCAGGCCAGCAGAGCCAGCCCTGCAGCCCAAGATAAGGCCTTTGGCGGGCGTCTCCCCTATCGCTCCCTCAGGCATGCGTGGGGGAGAGGGGTGATGCCTGGTGTCGGCAGAACCCCACAGGGAGAGAGACGCAGGATGGGCTCTAAGTATCCACGGTCTGTCCGGGGCTGCCTGCCCCTGTGTGCCTTAACACTGGAGGCGGCTCTCATTCTCGCCTTCTTTTTCACCTCCTATGACCCTTTCGCGAAGGATCGGAAGCTCATGAGTCTTTATGGAGGTGAGAGCTCACTGGAGAGGTGGTCACGGAGGTAAACAGTAGGGGCGGGAGAGGCCTGTGGTTCTCCAGGGACACAGATGTTCCTGTCCACAAAATCCCCAAGGGAAGGGACTCCCCCATTTTATCCCATAGGTTGTGCCAAGGCCCAGCCAACAATGTAAGCTGTCCTTGGGGAAAAGCCTGCGCATCACCTCTTCCATGAAGCCTGCCTTGATTTGTCAGTACAGAGGAGTCCTTTTTGGTGTTTCCCAGATTCCCTGTGCCAAATGGTCTTCATAATTCTCTGCTTCTCTGTTCCCCCAACTTCTCTCTCCTTAGTGACAAGGAATGTCATGTTGTTGCTGGGGAGGTTTTTGTTTTTGTTTTTCCTTTTTGGGGTCTCTCTTGCTCATTTCTGAGTCACCTATCCTTGCTCTCCCGCCCCATCCCTGCCTTCTTACTTAGGGCTGGGACATCTGTGTGCTGTCTGCAAACCCAGAGCCAGAAGGTGCAGCTAAAGGGGAGGGAGGAATGGTGGTTATTCTATATTCAGCTAAAAAGATTCCCGGCTGGGCCTGGTGGCTCAGCCTGTAAGCCCAGCACTTTGGGAGGCCGAGCAAGTGGGTTGCCTGCGCCTATATGTTTGAAACTAGGTTGGGCCACTTGGTAGCCCAACTTTTATTAATAAAAGGCCACTTTTATTTATTATCTCTACAATAAATAAAAAAATTAGCCGGGTGTGGTAGCACATACCTGTAGTTCTGGCTACTTGGAAGGCTGAAGTGGAAGGATCACCAGAGTTCAGCAGGTGGACGCTGGAGTGGCCATGAGTGTGCCACTGCACTCCAGCCTGGGCGACAGAGTGAGACTCCAACTCAAAAAAAAAAAGATTCCCAGACTGTGATCAGACAACAGTACCCAAGACAGGTGTCCTCAGTGGTGTGTCTGCTTTTTGTAAAAATTGAGATGAGTGCCTGGCATCTCAGTGGGCTGATATGCTTATGAAAATGGCCGAAGATCCTTGAGGGACGTCCTGGAGACAGAGTCGAAGCTTGAGCCTGGTTGAGCACTCGCCTGCTCCTAGGTGGTGCTGATAAATAGTTAGCTGCAACCAAAGGGGAGGCTTCCAGGGTCTCGTGGCAAAGGCAAGTAGGACAGAGGTGACAAGGTGGGAAGCCCCTACCCCACTTAACGGGCTGACCCAGAGCAGGGTCTTCAGTGCAGGACCGGCAAGACCCGGCACAATTTTAATTCATTTCAATTTACTTAAATTATTTTCAGTTCAGTACCGTTCAATGCATTAATTCACTCATTCATTCATTCAACCATGTATTATACCCACTGGAGACTCAGACGCATGATGATTGGGGTGGGTATTTATTGAGCTCTCACCAGCAGCACTAGGCACTGTCCTAAATGTTTTACATTGGACTTTTCTCACAGCCCCTTGAGGTAGGGACTGCGATGATCTTCCCGTATCATATGAGGAAACTGGGCATATGGACATGAGGAATTTGCCCAGGGTCGCTCAGCCAGCAACAGCACCGCAGATTTAAATAGAGGCAACCTGGTTTGAGTTACCATAAGCGTGACCATCATGACGCGTCGTGGCTTATTTCACAATGGGGTTGTGTCATTCGTCACATAGCCAGCAGGTGTAGGAACTGCTGTTCCAACCCCGCAGACTGACTCCAGGGTCCGTGTTCTTCCCCTCTGCACTGTGCTGCTAACAGAGATATAAAGTGTCCTTGGAAACTCACTTTATACCCAAGCACGGAAGAGGGCTCGCAACCCAGGCAGGGGAGATGAGGGTGTCAGGGAAGACTTCCGCAGGGAGGTGACAGTTCACCAGGTCTTGAAGGCTCAGGGGGAGTTAGCCTCAGAAGGATTAACTTTCATTCTGCTGACCTGATAGGAAGCAGGAGTGCACAAGTGTGGGTTAGGGCTTCCAGCTCTTGACTGTGCACACATCATTTTTTGAGCATGTACCACATGTACATGTTACACTTTAAGTACTATTACATTAATGTATTTTGTGAATTATAATACAGAACATCCAGCCGGGTTCGGTGGCTCAGCCTGTCATCCCGCACCTTGGGAGGCAGAGGTGAGTGGATTGCCTGAGCCCGCGGGTTCGAGACCCGCCTGGGCAACTTGGCGAGACCTCATCTCTACAATAAATCAAAAATTAGCCGGGCGTGGTAGCGCGTGCCTGTAGCTCCAGCTACTTGGAAGGCTGAGGCGGAAGGATCGCTGGAGCCCAGATGTTCGAGGCTGTGGTGGCTGGGAGTGTGCCACTGCACTCCAGTCTGGGCAGCAGAGTGAGACTCCAACTCAAAAAAAAAAATACAGAACATCCAAAAGAGATAAAAATGAAACCTATAGCATTTTCAAATTGCTGATCATCATTGTGTCCCCTGGTGGGTCTGTTGTTACACTGAGGTTAGCAGGTAGAATCCCTTCCTCAGAGTCACCTTGACATTTCAAACTATCTTAGTTGACTTGTCAGATATGAGTAGATTGGTTTTTTAAAAAAAAACTTTGAATGTGACTGACAAAGACCTTGCACAAGGAGAGAAGGATCACTCTGCCTTTTTCTTTGTGTTCACTTGACCGCCATTACTGTTTTGCCCCCGATCTGTGTTTTTTTGGCAGGAGTTTTTTGGTTTGTTTTTTTTTGAGTTGGAGTCTCACTCTATCGCCCAGACTGGAGTGCAGCGGCCGCTCCCGGCCACTGCAGCCTAGACCTGCTGGGCTCCGGCGATCCTTCCACCTCAGCCTTCCAAGTAGCTGGAACTACAGGCGCGCGCTACCATTCCTGGCTAATTTTTTGATTTATTGTAGAGATGAGGTCTCACCAAGTTGCTCAGGCGGGCCTCGAACCCATGGGCTCAGGCAATCCACTCACCTCAGCCTCCCAAAGGTGCGGGATTACAGGCTGAGCCACTGAGCCCTGCTGGCAGGAGTTTTTAAGTCATTAGTTCATTTCATAAAGGTTTGTTGAGTAAACCTAGATAACTTAATCTGTCCATCCACTTAATCTAATCTAGTCCTTGTAAACTACAATAGATTAGTCAAACCTGCCAATTCTAAAGACACTTTTTGGCCGGGAGCAGTGTCTCACACCTATAATCCCAGCACTTTGGGAGGTGGAGGTGAGAGGATTGCCTGAGCTCAGGGGTTTGAGACCAGTCTAAGCAACATGATGAGACCTCATCTCTACAATAAGTCAAAAAATTAGCCGGACATGGTGGCACATGCCCTTGGTTCCAGGCAGGGGAATTGCTTGAGTCCAGGAGTTCAAGTCCAGCTTAGGTCTCAGTGGTTCTCAAAGGGTCATCCCCAAACCAGCTACCTCAGCATCCCCTGGAAACAAGTTAGAAATGCAGATGATCAGGCCCCACCAAGTCCAGACCTGCTGATCAGAAACTCTGAGGGTGGAGTCCAGCAATCTGAGTTTTAACAAGCCCCCTAGGTGATTCTAACGCGCATGAAAGGTAAACATAAATAAAACTGGAAGCGTTGGTATTTTCTTCCAGGCGCCCCCTCTGACTGTGTTGGCCTCTTCTGAGGTATACGTTCCTTGCTCTAGCGACCACTGGGCTGGATGACTGTGATGAGACCAGGTGGGCAGGGCCAGTGAAGGAGAAGCAAGGAGTCAGAGACAAAAGATATCTAGGAGAGAGAACCAGCTGGGGAGGAGGAATCAAGGAGGGCTGCAGGCTGGGCGTGGGGGCTCACGCTCGCAATCCCAGCACTTTGAGAGGCCGAGGCAGGAGGATGGCTTGAGTCCAGGAGTTCGAGACCAGTCAAGTTCTTGAACATTGCATATACAAAAATAAAATAAAATAACATTAACTGGGTGTGGTGGTGTGTGTCTGTAGTCCCCGCTACTTGGGAGGCTAAGGTGACAGAGTGAGATTCTGATTCAAAAAAACAAAAAAGGATGGCTGCAGATGTATGATTTGGCATATGGAGTGGCCAGTTCCAGAGATGGGAGGCACGAGGTTGTGGGGTAGATGTTTATTCTGGGCTTGGAGCTGAGGTGCCTGTGAGGTGTTTAGGGGAAGCAGAGTGTATCAGTTATCTATTGCTGCATAGCAACCACCCCAAACAGTGGTGGCTTAAAATAGCAACCTTGTAATTTACTTATGTCCATGATTCTGTGGGCTGGGCTCAGCTCAGCTGGGCGGTTCTTCTGTTAGTTTCACCTAGGACAATTCATGCATCTGCATCCTGGAGACTGGGATTTGCCTGGGGGAGGTTCGACTGGAGGTTCGATGGCCTCCAATGGCCTCATTTGCATGTCTGGCAGTTGTCAATTCACTGGGGGCCATTACTGTAACAATCCACTACCACACAGGGTTGCCCTGGGGCTTCCAAACTGGGGGACCATCCTGGGCCCTGTGCTGTGGATACTACCCAGTGCCCCGCTCCATACTCCTCACAGGCAGGGAGAAGAACTGTTAGAAAACAAGAGGGATTTTCCCAGTGACATGTAAATACCCTAAACCCTGGCACCTTCCACATCTCAGTCTGGGGCTCCCCTTTTGGGAAAATCTCTTTTCTTCTTCCCAGGCTACTGCAGGGGGGAGAGTGGAACAGAAGTAGAGGCTGTGGGGGAGGAGGAGGCAGCTTGGGCACCAGCCTGAGGCTACAGAGGTCTTCCCAGTCAGCAGTGGGGAGCACAGTCTGGAGGTCAAGTCCAGAGGCTGGGAGACAGAAGCTGGGTCTGGTTTCAGTGCTGAAGTTTCTGCAGGCCAGAGGGAGAGACAAGAGCAGCTGGGTTGGGGGGCACAGATCCAGAATCTTGGGGCAGCAGGCTGGAAGAGGCAGATGCTCGTGGCAATGGATTCAGAAGAGTAAACTGTTAGTATCTAAACCAACTCTCTGCAAATGGACTCTGCAACAGGCCCTCGGAGGGAATGGTCTTCTTGCCTGAAGTCACACAGCAAGTAAGTGGCAGGCATGGGGTAATAGTTGCTAACATTTGCTCTGCACCCAGTGCTGGGCAGTGATCTGCAAGAGTCAGTGAGCTCAATGCTCACCGCAATTCTTTGAGCAGGCACTGTTGTTTCATACCCATTTTACAGATCGGAAACTGGGACACACAGGTAGCGGCAGGCTCTGAACCCCAACAACCTGATTCAGAGACCCACACTCTTCACCATTGTGCTATATATGCTGCACGGAGAGGCAGGATGGCATAGTGGTTAAACCCAGATGGTCAGGGTTCAAATCTTCCTGCCACCACTTACGAGCTGTGTGACTTGGGCTAGTTACAGCACCCTTCTGTGCCTCTCTTTTCCCATCTGTAAAATGGAACTAATAAGTAGTGCCCACTGTATGGGGTTGTTGTGAGTTAAGGCTGTAAGGCACTTAGAACAAGGCCTGGTCCATGGGGTACCCTCTCTGTCCTGCGGTTAGAATGATAGTAATTATTGCCTCATCTCGCCTCATTTCTCACTGCTGGACTCCCAGATAGGCTTTCTTTTTCCAAGTCCTGGGGGTTTCACAAACATTTCCTGCAGGCCTGCCTTCTGCTGTAAAAGTCCCCTCCGGGCCATGTCACTGGGGCCCGTAGCACACTCACTCCTTATTGCCCCTGAACACCTTGGAGTCCAGCAGCTTATCAGACTAGCAGCTGAAGTGGGTGCAGGGCAGGCCCCAAGAGGTGGAGAACGATGCCATGGGGAAGCTCTGAGCTGAGACCCAGTCCTGAAGCTGGGAGGGTGGGTGCCAGCCAGTGAGGCTGGGAGAGGAAGTGAGAGGATGCAGGGGTGAGGGGAGGTGACTTGAAATCACATGCTATCGGCCAGACTCGGTGGCTGAGCCTGTAATCCCAGCACTTTGGGAGGCCGAGGTGAGTGGATTGCCTGAGCC